ATCTATCTATCTATCTATCTATCTATCAATATATCATCTATCTATACATCATCTATCTATCATCTATCTGTCCATCTATATCATCTACCTATCTATTTCTCTATCTATCTCTCTATCATCTATTAATCAATTGCCTACCTGCTTATTTACCTCTTGATATTTATTCTTTTACTTTGGCTTGCTGTATGCTTAATAAATCCACTCAAACCTGAAAATATGATTACCATAGATCCTTCTCCAGGTCAGAACACAAAGATACAGAAAAGGCCCCATCAATATAGTATAGCCTCTTACTCTGTCATTAGGATTATGTGGCTATTTGATGGTCTTGAAATTGATCATCACATACCCTCTATTCTCTGCTGTCTAAGCATAAAGTGGGCTTGTACTTCTTGACCACGTTTACTTGGCTGCAAGAGTTAAGCAGTTTGGTTTGTAAGGGAGAAGATGAAATGGCATGTGGTACTTCAGAGCTAGCAAGCATTGCACATGGAGACCTCGAGAGCTCTTCTCCTTTGTCCCTTTAATAGTCTTGGATCCTGAGTAGCAAGTGCAGAAGCCCAAGCCCCTGTACTGTTGCTGTTTTCTGTGAGTGAGAAGTTTACCCTTGTCGATTGGTCATTTGGATTAACTGTCACTGTGTATGCATTAGCTTCTGAGGACCCATGCACTCAATAAAGGTAAGTCGTCTGAAGATAGGAAAATGAGGGAAGACACAAATATATACAGAAGTCCCTGAACAGGGTTAAAATGAATCCCTCTGGGCCTCCAGGTTCCCCCTCTTCACCATTCTCCAACATGCCCACTATGTCATACCCAATCAACACCATAAGGGCCGCTGTCTGTGGATGCATTGACACCTGCTTCAGTGCTCATGGGGGGTAGAGAGAGAGAGAGAGAGAGAGAGAGAGAGAGAGAGAGAGAAACAGCGGGAGAGAAACAGCGAGAGAGAAACAGCGAGAGAGAGAAACAGAGAGAAACGAGAGAGAGAGAAACAGAGAGAGAGAGACAGAGGCAGAGACAGAGAGCAAGTGTGCACAGAAACCTGCCTCAGTGACCAGAATTCCACTTCTATCTGTTCTACTGATTGGATTTGAGGCTCAGGGTTCACTCAGGAACTTATTTTCCCAACTTGGAATAGCAGGGTTGGTAGAAACTCCCGATACCCAGGATGTTGAGAAATGGCTAGCTTTCCCTCTAGGAAAGGAGAGAGACTTACCTGGCTGAGCCAGCACCTGGGTGGTGAGGCTGCTGGCCGTGAGCAGCAAGAATAGAAGTCCTGCGGAGGCCTGCATGGTGGAAGGAGTTGGAGCTTCTGCGTTTAGCTCAGCCTCTCTGCTCTGCTAGCTATTCAGCTTGCCTTTATAAAGAGCAGATGGGTGGGTGCTTCCAGGGAAGCCTGTGCCTTCACAGGGTCATGAAAGGGACATCCTGAGCTGCAGATCTCCTGGAAAGACAGCAAGGCAGAGGAAGCACAAACTGGGGGTGGGACTTGGCACCTGTTTCATCTATCTGGAGATGGGAATGAAGAAGACAGGGATTCTGTGATTATGAAATATAAGTAAACATTTTGTAGTAGGGCAAAGAATCAAGAGAATTACATGAGGGAGGACAGTGGATTTAAGAGGCCTTCATGGTCCCTGTGTTCGCTTAGTGATCTGTAAGACTTTAGAGGCTAGTAATATCCCATAAGGTGCCCACCTACATGTAAAGTTTTGTGCAATAGCTCTGAACATTGATGGGTCTGTATTATCAGGAAAAAACAGTACACAGCCTTACTTCTGTTATGTGATCAGTGACCATAGAATTCTAGTGCTCTGGAACATAGTGTCACCGTGAGGAAGCAACTGTACAGACAGCTTAGAAACCTAGGACCTCACTTCACTTGAGCTACACACACACACACACACACACTTCCTAAGAAAGTATTTAGCAACCTGGGACTCCACTTGCACTAAGGCACATGCACACTCTTCTTCAAAGAAAGAAAATGACCACTCTGCCTTAATAACCCATGGCAATTTATTAGCACCCTGTTTTCTGTGCATGTATGTATGTATATATAGTATAGTATGTATGTAGCTGTCTGTCTAGAACATCCTGGTACACATCCTGAAATTAGAGACAGGGGGTGCATCTGGCCTGGACTGGAAAACTGTGTTCCTAGAATGAACTTTTAGGAAAATATTCCTATTTACCATCTTATGCTTATGCATGATGTGGCATGCATAGGATTAAAATCAGATGTGTCATCAGAAAGGACATGTGCAGTAACAAACTTATAACCCAATCAAAACAGAAAGCTACCCCATCCAACAACCAACTCCTCCTTCTGGACCCACCAAAGCAAGCCATGGAAGTACAAGGACCGAGGGCTCTTGAGCAATGTCTCAGAGCCCGCCGCTTCCTGGCAGTCATCTGCTCTGTGCTCCCACTTTGCTTCTAATAAAATTGCGTGCTGCTTTGCTGTTTGTGTGCACTTCTTCAATTCTTTGACCAACACTCCAAGAACTTAGAAGCACCTGGTCCAGACAGTGACACCTAGAAGTACCTGGTCCAGACAGCGACCACCACTAACAGAGAACTATCAGAAAAAAGTAAACTGCTTCCTAATGAGTTGGACAGCTTCACTTGTCAGTTTGATACACCTGGGAAGAGGGAACCTCAAATGGGGAATTTCCTCTAGGGGACTGGCCTGTGGGCATGTCTGTGGGACACTTTCTTGATTTTTGAGTGATGTGGGGGGACTCAGTTCATTTTGGGTGATGCCACTCCTGGGCAGATGGTAGTGAATCACATCAGAAAGCAGGCTGAACACAGGCCAGGGGAGAAAGCCTGTAAGCAGCATTCCTTCACGGTCTGTGCTTCAGTTCCTGCCTCTGGGTTCCTGCCCCGAGTTCCTGGCTGATATCCTTCCAAAACGCACTGTAATCTGAGTTGTGAGATGAAATAAACCCTTTCCTCCCTCAAGCTGGTTTTGGTTAGTGATTTATCACAACAACCAAGCCTACCTAATACGACTACTGACCTTGACAATGTTTTAAAGCAGGTCCAAAAAAATCTTAATTTCAATAATCCTAAATGAACTTAATGTACAGCTGTCATTGAAAACCACTGGCCTAAAAGATGCTGTATTAAAAATAAAAAGTTTGGGACCAAGGAAGTATTGAGAATTTTAAAACCAGATTTTTGTCTGATAACACTCTGCTGTGGTTGCCTCGTGTCCTTGGAAAGTCACCACCAGTTCTCAGACAGGTAGGATCTTCCAAGAAATAAGGACACCTAAGAAGCCCTACTCCCCTCCCCCAAGAGCACAGTTTCGGGAAGATTGATGATGTTTTTATGTTGTTGCTTGTTTGTTTTTATGTTTACAAATTTAACATGGCCAGAGCTGACCATTGTCTGATTTGACAACACGTCCTGTCTCCCCCTGATAGAAACACCAATTGAATATAATCATTTCCAACACCTCTGTTTTGATAGGTAATAAGCCTTTGATTGTTATCCAAGTGCCTCTGAAAGTCTCAAAAATGTTATTAGATGCAATTTCACATTTAGGATTCAATCTTAGAAAGGAAAATGTTGTCAGGAGATGCAAACAATTAAAATACCCTAGTTGGTGATGAGAAACAGAAGTTAGGTATGCATTAGAAAGTAACATGAAAACGTTTGAAATAAACAATAAAAACAAACATAGAAAGTTTTATGATTACCAAGAACATATCTCTTTCATAAATGAGAAAACTAACAGAATTACTATCGAAAAGACTTTCAGTACCATATTCCCCCAGATCAGTACAAAATTTTAGTTCCATGATATTTTCTTCTTGAGAAAAATGTTTATTTTTATTTCAGTTACACTACCATATTCCCCCAGATCAGTACAAAATTTTTGTTCCATGATATTTTCTTCTTGAGAAAAATGTTTATTTTTATTTCAGTTACCAAATCAAAGGATATCTCTTTTTATGATATCTTTTATTTCTTCGTTGAAAATTTCATACATGTATACAATGTATTTCCATCACATTCACCTGTCATTTCCCCCCTTGACTTTGACGTATTCAGCATTTTAAAGCTATTTGCTTAGCTGCTAAAGTCCTTTTCCAAGTAAAGTCAAAACCTACTCCCGTACAATGAACACGCTCTACTGAAGTAGGTATGTTTGCAGTGGAACATGTGCATCTCTGTCTTCACACCCTAAGGACTCAAGGAACACCTTTAGAAAGTCAGTTTTCCCATTTACCGTCACCCCCTGAACACGGCAGACAAGGCATCTAATGACTTCAAAATACAGAAGAGACAAAAGGTGCAACCCCCCGCCCAATCCCTTATGTACAGCCCTAAACTCCCAAGTAAAAGCTTCGAGGAGAGGCAACATCTTATAATGGGATAGCTGCAGTAAATCACTGTCTTGCATACCAGCATGGAGGCACTCCATGACTACTTCCTGGCTATCTGGAGCACTATCACATCAAATTGAGTGTTTAGTAAAGGTAACATGGAAAAATATGTTACGAAGGACTTGGGTTAGAAAAGGACAGTACTGTGGTCAACTGGTGATACCTGTCATGGGCACAGAATTGTAGGGTACTCTTGCTGGCCTATAAACACCCATTTTGACTGATTTGACAACACTTCCTGTCTACCACCAACAGGAACACCAAATGAATATAATTGGTCAGCAACTACCTAAAAAAGAACCAAATAGAAGCCAGAATGCTTGGTCTTTCCTGTTCCTTGCTGCTCAGTTCCAGGTGATCTAGGATAGTGGGTACAGTGGATCCAGGAGGTCTGAGTTGCATGACGACTCTGTTATGACAAACTTCATACCACGGATAGCTTGCCCATTCACAGTCCACTAGCCTAAGATGGAGGTAACAATTACACCTACCTTAGAGGTCTGCTATGAGAATTAAATGAATTAATACAGAAAGTGCTTGAAAGAGTTGTCAGCCTTCTGTAGATAGATACTCAGTGCCTAGAAGTTAAGGTTTCATTAATAGAAAGTGGAGCAGCTTTTGTGGACCAGGAGTGATTGGAAAGAGACTGTATCTAGGTAGGTGGCTTTTTCCATCTGTCCTCCTAGATTTCCCACTGCTTCTAAGTAAAGACATCCTATCGTAGGGATGACTTTCAAGAATGCCTGAGCTGGACATGGAAGAGGCATGAGGTCTCAGAAATCATTCCAAAGGAATGCATTTGGAGCATTCCTGACCTCAGAGATGTCTGGCTGACGTGGTTAAATGGTTATATATCCTTAATAGGAATAATTTGGTAGTTCAGTCAGGAGTTTAGAGGGACTTCCCATTTCTCAGCTTCCTCCCTGAGATGATGGTTTTTGTGTGAGTCCAGAAACTTCAGTGTGAATAAGTAAAATAAATATTGAGACATTCAAGTTCAGCAGCTGTTCCATCCAACTGCCTGGCTGTCCCTGGCAAGTGGGGCGGCAGCAGCTGGCTGGGGTTCCAGCTGCATTTGTGCTCCTCTTAGCTGGTTTCTCGGCAGTCACCAGGAAAGGACCCACCACTTGCTTGTAATGTGATTATGTGGCTGATGAATAGGGCTGGGGAGGCTAGGTCAGAGGCCCTGAGAGAAGGACAGGCAGTGGGTCCCTGGAGGGGAAACACAATCTTGGCTGCACCAGTGCTTTTCTGAGGAACGCTAAGCATACAACAGGGAAGGATGCTTGAAATCAGAGCTCTTGGCTTTGATTTGCTCTGCTCCAGATTTTGTCTTCCATGTCCAAGTCATGGGCTGGGAGCAGCTCAGTAGTAGAATGCTTATTATCCAAGACACACAGGGCCTCGGATTTGAGCCCCAGAACTGCAAATGAAGTCAAACGAAGCAAGGTCACACACAATCCTGAAACAGCCATGAAAGAGGCATAGATGGGTATTTTATTCCATCCCTCTCTTTAAAAGGAAAAAAATAAAGTAGAAAGCTGAGGCCTGGGGACCAGAGACAAAAGTCCAAAAGCTACTCTATGTATTTTAGGGAGAGCTGGTCCTAGACATTGCCACTTGACTCCTTCCCTATGTTGTGAAATCTCTGCTGCACTTTAATGCTTTTCTCTGTGTGCTGATTAGTTTTTACTGTCAACTTGACACAATCTAGAGTCACCTGGGAAGAGGGAACCTCAACTGAAGAATTTCCTCAATAGGATTGAGGTGGTCATGTCTGTGAGGGATTGCCTTGGTCGATGATTGATGCAGGAGGGTTCGACCCCCTATGGGTGGGATCATCCCTGGACAGGTGGTCCTGGGCTGTATAAGAAAGCTAGCAGAGTGATTGAAAGAGTGAGCCAGAAAGCAGTATCCCTCCATGGCTTCTGCTTAGGCGATGGACTGTGACCTGGAAGTGTAAGCTAAAAAACCTTTCATCCCCTAAGTTGCTTTTGGTCATAGTGTCTACT